GAGTGACATTGCTGTGGGTCTACAATCACATATAAGACCAGGTAGAAATGTTAGTTTCCTTCCATAAGGGAATATGAATGAACCCAATGGGTTTTTCCTGATAACCAGCAATGGTTTCACAATCATCGTACTCTTTTATGTCTTAATTATTGTTGAATTCAAATCCCACCATCTGCCACTGCAGGATTTGAACACAGCTCCCCAGAACATTACATGGGTCTCTGGCTGAATCGTTTAGCAATAATACAACTCGGCCATCCCTGTCCCTCAGTCTAACTCAGAGTGCTACCAATGGAGCCTTGTACATATGATCGGAGCAAGGTAAAGGCAGAAGCAGAAGAGAGGGAAAGAAAAGCGAATATGAGAAAAGAGTGAAAGATGCTGGAAAAGATTGGGGGTACCTTATATAACATTCAAGAAGTATTTAAATGTACACCAGCAAAGCCAAGGCATACAAAGCGATGGTCCAAATGTTGGAAAACAGGATTAAAATAGTTAGGTTCTTGTTTTTAACAGGCACAGACTTGATGGACAGAAGGGCCTTTTTGCTGTGCTGTAGAACTCTGTGGCTCTATCACTGTTACGTGTGATTGTGACACATTTTTAGCTATTTATTAATCGATCTGGTGAGGCTCGCTTATTCTGATACTTCGATCAACCACAGATTTAATTCATCCTTCAGTCCGCAACTTTCATTCCACAGTTACCAATAAGTACATAGCAAGCTGCCAGAAACAGCAATGTGATAATAACCAGACAAAACCTGTTTCTCAGCGTTGCTGACTGAGGGATAACTGTTTTCCCTTGCATACTAGGGGCGACTTCTCTGTTTTTCTTCATTAATTGTACAAGCAGATCTTTGTCTCTAAACCTGGCAGCCTCCTGACTTGAAATGATATCATCGTTCCTTCACGGTCGGTGGGTCAAAATCCTGGAATTTCCTCCCCAGTAGCACTGGACGCACCCATCTGCAAAACCTTCACCTCATCAGGTCAAGAGGCAGATCATCACCACCTTCCCGAGGGCAATTAGGGACAAATGCTGGCCCAGCCAGTAATGCCTACTTCCTGTGGTCGAATTTAACATCTCATCCAAAAAAAACCCTCCATATTCCTCCAAAGATTGCTAGTCTTTGTACTCAGCTCTCTGGCCTTATTATTCCTATCTTCACTGAGCTGAAGTGGTTTGTATTCTTTGACATTCACTTCAAAATTGCAGGATTTGTTTGCAAATCCAAGGGCTCTCAACATGCGTCTGACTTGACACTGTAGTCGTCCAGAAATAGTATTAACCTGACTACATTCAGAAGAATCTTGAGTCAGAGGTTGAGAGTTCAAGCCTCACTCCACAAAATTGAACCAATGGTTCAGAAAGACAATTCAGAGCAGTATGAAGGGAGTGCTGCACTGTTAGAGGAGCCACCCTTCAGATGAGATGCTAACCCAGTATGTACATGCCGTCAGGAGAAGATCCCTGGCCATTATTCTGAAGAAGACTAGGAGTTTCCCTCCCAGTGTCCTGGCCAACATTCATCCCTCAGATAACAACATTTAAACATACGACTTGATTATTACCACGTTGGGAGCTTGTGAGAGTCATAGCTTGTGGCTGTCATGCTTTCCTACATTACAACAGTGACTACACATCAAAGGAATTTAATTTGCTGTGTGTGTATGTGCATGATGTGCACGTCCAATTCTCTTGTTTCAAATGGGTCCTGAACAGAGATACCTGGAGCACGGACAGATACATGATGAGTAAAACTAAGGTAAAGTCTGCAGTGTCATTGGAGAGAGGTGGCTGGTGGTGAGTTTAACCTAAGGGTCACTGTGTCTTAGACAAGGTTAACAAGATTGGGCTTTCATGGTGACCTCAGCCAGTTTAGGGGGATTGAACCCATGCTCTTGGTATCACTCTGCATTAAAAAAGGAGCCAATAGAGTTAACCACCACCTGCAATGGGAACATGCTTACCAGGAGATTGTCCAGGCCACAGGGAGCTTGAAACTCCCTCAACCTGAGCTCGAACGGTTTGCAAACAGCAGCCACATCATACACAAGAGAAAATCCTTTCCTCCCAAAACAATAAAATGATCTCACCCATTGGAAAACAAAATACCTGGCTTTATCCTATTGCCAATAAACTGAGAAACTACTGATAAAATAATTGGGCAGTATCTGAAAGTCTAATAAACTTATGCAGAGTAATGGGTCAGACCATCTAATGACACAACGTCGTTCTTTCTCTTTGCCTTACTTTTCTGTACAGTTGTGGAATTTTTTTTCTTTCTAGCTCTAAACATTGCGACTCTCGGCCATTTCTGGCATGAGAACGTTGACATGAAACATGAACTCTGTTTCTCTCTGCACAAATGCTGCCCAGCTCACTGGGCATTTCCTGAGTGTTGGCTGGAAAGTGCTTTGGGATATGCTGTGGTGAAGAAAGGTGCTACAGAAATTTAAATTCATTCTCATTTGGTGGCTCAGGTTAGCAGTGCTGCCCCAAAGTGCCAGGAACCCAGGTTCAATTCCAGCCTCAGGTGCCTGTCTGTGTAGAGTTTGCACATTCTTCCCGTGTCTGTGTGGGTTTCCTCTGGGTGCTCTGGTTTCCTCCCACAGTCCAAAGATGTGCAGATTAGATGGATTGACCATGCTACATTGCCCATAGTGTTCAGGGATGTGCGGGCTAGGCCATGGGAATTATGGGGATAGGGTGGGGACCTGGGTCTGGGTGGGATGCTCTTTGGAGGGTCGGTGTAGACTCAATGGGCCGAACGGCCTCTTTCCGCTGTAGCAACTCTATGATTCATTCATTTTTCCAGCATTTCCTGTTCAATTTAGATGCTACACTAATATAACAAATTCACTAATTCATTAATGTGAACGTCAGAGATGGTAAGGGGTTTTGTCAGTATGCCTGGGTACATGAATCAGCAACAGGAGTAGGCCAATCACTATTCTGCTCCACCATTCAATAAGATCGTGGCTGACCAGATTGTGGCCTCAAATCCACATTTCTGCCTACCTCTGACAGCCTTTCACACTGCCTTTTACTGAGAATCTATCCACCTCTGCCTTAAAAATATTCAAACACTCTGCTTTCAACACCATGTCAGGAAAAGAGTTCCAAAGACTCATGAGCTTCTGACCAAAACGTGCACTTAATCTCTGTTCTAAACCCTCGTGCTACATTCTCAAACAACAAGGAACATCTGTACATTTTGACAGAAAATTTACAAAGAAACTTTCAGGAACTAGAACATTTGTCAAATGAAAAGTATCAAGTAGTTACTCTTCCATTTTGGACAGACAGAGTTTCTCATTATAAGAAAATATACAGAACACCTGAGACTTAGCTCTGCATTCAACCTGCAATCTATCTGATATGTTGAATGCTACAGTTTTGAGGAAGCTTTAATCTGTATTTTAACCCTGTGCTGTCCCCGTCTTGGAAGTATTTGATGGGGACAGTGTAAAGGGAACTTTACTTTTTATCTAACCCCATGCTGTACCTGTTCTGAGAGTGTTTGATGGGGACAGTGTAGAGTGTGCTTTACAGTATACCTAACTCCGTGCTGTACCGGTCCTTGGAATGTTTGAGGGGTACGGTGTAAAGGGAGCTTTACTCTGTACCTGACTCTATGCTGTACCTGTCCTTGGAGTGTTTAATGAGGACAGTGTAGAGTGAGCTTTAGTCTATATCTAATTCCATGCTGTACCTGTCCTGGGAGTGTTTGATGGGGGCAGTGTACAGGGAGCTTTACTCTGTACCTGACTCTATGCTGTACCTATCCTGAGAGTGTTTGATGGAGACAGTGTAAAGTGAGTTTTACTCTGTATCTAACCCCCTGTTGTACCTGTCCTTGGAGTGTTTAATGAGCACAGCGTAGTGGGAGCTTTAGTCTATATCTAACACTGTGCTGACCCTGTCCGAGGAATGTCTGAAACGTTCTTGGAGCTCTCATCCTAATTCAGGAAAGCTAATCTCTTCTGCTCACGGAGAACCATAACTGCTAAAGATATTCTTCTTCCACTGATTACAAGGAAAATGAAATATGAAAGGGCAGCTGTTGGACTTACAAGCACCCTGGGATCTCCAATGTACTTTTGAATGCTCACCTCAAACAGCTCACCTTTTGACAACGAGCACACCGTTCTGTGTATATTAAGGGCTTGTGATCTGTCTCAATATGTTTTGATCATACCCCTGACTGCCAACATCTCTCCAATGTTGACACGTGCAACTTTAATGGGCTAATCGGCCATTGGGTGTGGGTTTCCTGCACTCAATACCTGACATTGACTTTGAATATGTGACAAAGCCTTTTGGCTCCTGGGAACTTTGACCCTCAGTTGGTAGCTTTCCCCTGCTTGAGATAAAAGCATGTGACTTCATGCTCCGCTGCAAAGTGTTGACCATAAAGTCCAGGCTGACATCGTACTGTAGTACCGAGGAACTCCTTCACTGTCCTTTAGATAAGCTGTGAACCAGTGCCTCACCTGACCTCTCAGGTGAAGATATAACATTCTGTGCCACTATCAAAGATGAGCAGGACTGTCCTGGCCAACACCTGATTACAAAGCTCATCTGCAGTATCCCATTATCCTCTGTGGGAGACAACAAGGTGCAGGGCTGGATGAACACAGCAGGCCAAGCAGCATCATAGGAGCAGAGAGGCTGTGGGAATTTGCTTTGTGCAGATTGGCTGGCACATTACCTGTATTACAAGAGTGATGACACTTCAACAAGTACTTTAATGGCTCTGAACTGCTTTAGGACACCAAGAGGTCATGAAAAGCAACGATATAAATACAAACTCTTTCTATCCTTTCTTCCATCCAGTTAGGGTTTGGGTTTTGTATTGTCTATTTTTAATTCCCAAGCAACTGGAGGGAGACCCCACTCTCTCTTGACCAGTGAAACGGCCTGATAAAAGGATTTAATCTTTTGGGGAAGGGTCGCGGGTTAGGGGTGGGTGATAGAGTGCCAACGTTCGTTACCTCGTAATGTGCTACTCTCTGGGACTCAGAGATTAACTGTGCATTGCAGATGTTACAGTAGCTGTCTGTGAACAACTCCGTTTCACCTGTCCCCGCAGATTTCATCTGCAAAAGAGAGAAAGAAAGATACACAGACAGATGTAAGACGCCTGGAGCGACATTGGCAGCTGGAGTCTGAAATAAATAGTCCATTCAAAATAATTGAATGGACCCCAGCGAGACTGTGCATTTCATTTAGAAAAATCAGAAAAGTTGTTAGGAACGGAGAAAAGACCAGATATCCAGACAAAACATGTCTCTTAATTCTATCCCTTTCTGGCTGCAGAAGCAAATTAATTGTCACTTTGATTATACTGTCCACTCCGATGTGTTCCCCCATGGCCTCCACTGCCTTTAAACGATGGAAAAATAACTCCTTTCACTCACAACATTTGACACCTTGTGCCTGCTGTATTCAGGTACTGACAACAATTAGGATTCCACTGGAAAGTTAATTCTTCTTTTGTTACGAACTGTTGTGTTCAGGTTGCGCCTCTTTTAGTTTGATTTAAAGATGCTTCTTCCATCGATATTCCTGTTGTTTACAAATCCAATCAGGAATTCGGGAGAAATGCTTGAAATAGCTGCACAGAGGCCGGGTTCTGTCACAAAATCACCCTTTAATTTACGAGTGCACAGTACCACTGACCGTGGCCCAGCCAGCTCGGAGTCGATCCTCAACTGAGGGGATTCTAATCTCCTGGTTGTATTGGTCAGCCAGGGGCTTTCCTGATTGGACCAGGTTGACAACCCCAATCAAGAACATTTGTAGTCAATGAGATCCACCTGGACCCAATCACTACATACCTTTACTTTTAGAATGTGAACACACTCCCACAGGGAGCAGTTGATGCATTTGAGGAGATTCTAGATAAATGCACGAGGGAGAAAGGAATCTCAATAGTAATTAGGGATGGGCAATAAATGTTAGGCTTGCCAGTGATGCTCACATCCTGTAAATGAATTTAAAAAAAAGGAAATGCTGACTGCCTTGGATGAAGATGGGTGAGAGGAGACTATAAAAACAAGCACAGTGCAGTGGGGCTGAATGGCCACTTTCTGTGCTATATATCCTACGTAATACTATTTTATATTAATGACACATTCACACGGGCATCTTTTGCTTTGTGTATTGATACAGGCGGCACGGTGGCTCAGTGGTTGGCACTGCTGCCTCACAGCGCCAGGCTTCGATTCCACCCTCGGGTGACGGTCTGTGTGGAGTTTGCACATTCTCCCAGTGTCTGCGTGGGTTTCTTCTGGGTGCTCTGGTTTCCTCCCACAGTCCAAAGATGCGCAGGCTAGGTGGATTGGTCATGCTAAATTGCACATTGTGTCCAGGGATGCACAAGCTAGGTAGGTTAGCCATGGAAAATGCAGGGTTACAGGGATAAAGGAGGGGAGTGGGTCTGGATGAGATACTCCTTGGAGGGTTGGCGTGTACTTCATGGGCTGAATGGCCTGCTACGTGTTTAGATTCTAAACAGACTGATGAAGGAAAGGCTTGGCTTCTTTATCAAACTGTTTATTGTACTTTAATCACAAATATTGTGACACGCCAGGCTCTAATCAAATCTGTTACAATATATGAAACCTGGGCTTCAGGAGTTAAATTATGAGGATAGATTATACAATTTAGGCCTGTTTCCTCCAGAATTTACAAGGGCAAGGGGTGATCTGATTGGAGTCTTCAGGTTATTACCGGGGAAAGACAGGGTAGTTAAAGATAAACTATTTCCATTGATTGGGGATTCTAGAACTCGGGGCAAAATCTAAAAATTAGGGCCAGACAGTACAGGAGAGATAACGAGGTGTAGAGCTGGATGAACACAGCAGGCCAAGCAGCATCAGAGGAGCAGGAAGAAGAAGGGTCTAGGCCCGAAACGTCAGCCTTCCTGCTCCTCTGATG